TTTTGCCATTTGTAAACTGTATAATGGCTCTCAGTGCCATTACAGTGGTACAGTGGTTCACAGCAGTCTAAAAGCGTAAGAAATTGTTTCATACCTTTTCCAGACTGGTAGATCTTAAATGTTTTCTTTCTCATTTATTTTTGTATTTCCTTTTATAATGACATGATATCTAGCTTGAGGATCTTTTGGTCTGCTTCCCTTTGTCGGGCAGATTTAAGCGATAACTTCACATATCTTCACACAATTGATTCGATTTCATTTTCCCTAAACTGTTTACTTGTTTTTTCTTTTACTAATATGATTTGTTTTCAAAAATAATGTGGAAATAATGGATTTTATTCAGTACAATACTATTTTTTGTTTAGTTTACATATCCATTTAGTGGACACTGTTCAGTCACTTAAACTGAATTGAAGAGTACATTTCATCAGTTCATGCAATTCATTTGTAAATGAACCTATAACTTTTGTGACCACATGCTTGCATTAGTGTTCGAGCTACAGAAACGCCATCACATATGCAAATGGCTTGAAAAAAGAGACATGTCTTAAAATGTCTAATGTTACCAAAAGAGCTCAATGAATGAAAGAAAATGATTTTCGACACATTTGATAAAAAAACATGCAAACATAATGTAGTTAGACATGATGATATGCTAAGTCATAAAAATAATAAAAGTAAAAATGATACTTAAAAAAAATAAATTTATTTTATTTATTTTTGCTGAAAATAGCCTTTCAAACAACAATGGTACACTGTTTACCACTATATATGGTGACTTAACTTTCAGTTTGATGAGTCATTAATCAGAAGGCTTTCTTAAAAGTTTGTAAATTGCAACCATGACAACATTCAGTAAACACCAATAATACAATATAAATCATGACAGTACTGAATATATTCTGTAGGATATATACAGATTAAATGAAACATTAATAGAAAAGCTGATTAAAAAATAAACATCTGTTAGGTCATGTTATACCACCATCATGATATTGATCTTAAGATCTTAAGCTTAAAAGAACAGATACAGATCTTAAAGTAAAAAAAAAAAAAAAAGTTTGTAAAATCTTTAAGTAATGTTTTTTTTTTTACATGTTTGTGCAAGCACAGATCAATATATTATATTATGATGATTATAATAAATTGGAATATAAAGCCACAATGCAAAGCATTAAAATATTTGTCTACTTTTTGGCACACAAATAGCACAGAATGTTTATTTCTGAAATGTGATACCGACATCTACAAAAGGTTCTTCCTGCTCAATGGATTGCCATGACACGACACAAGGAATAAAAGAAGTGAAATCAACCTTAGAGGTATAATAACTAAGGTGAAAAGACTGAGTGAAGGGAAGAACAAGAAGTACACAGAAAGAAGAACAGCAGGATTTAAATATCCTCAATAATACATGAAGAAAAAGATACAGTGCACACATTTATTCATTCGCATGAAACCTAATTCACATGAATGAAAAATATGTTTAATAAATAATATAAATAAACATTTGTGAGTTCATCATGGACAATCAAAATGGCTTGGACTTGAGTGTATATTTATCAACAGACCAAACATTTGGTTACAGGTGTGCATTATGTTATATTGTTTTGTTTTGTTTTGTTTTTTTGGTGAATTTTGTTGTGAGACAAACCTGCTTTTATATTTGAGATGTTCAACAAAACTGTAATTTCTATTTTCCCTATAATGTTAAAGTTTATTATTTTTTCACTTAAGGTTTAAAAAAAACTATGAAACTGAAACGTGTTTTCATTTTGCTTGGTTAGGCCTACTGAGAAAAACATCAGACCAGCAGTTGATCTTGAGTATCACACGATGCTTTTTATATAAATTATAATGATTTATTTGAGTAAAAATTGAAAATAGACACAATAAAAATAACATTAAACAAGTTGGACCAGCCTGATCTCACAAGGAAATGTAACTATTTTATATTTTGTAAGTTTATTGGCAAACTGAAATTATAAATTTGATGGCAGGTTGAATCGAATGAAAATGTAATTTTTTTAAAAGGAGGCATGGCACCCTTCCCCACCCCTTAACCAAACCATCATTGAGGCATTAGCAAATTGTACTTAACTGTACAACTGAGATGCAAAAAAAAATTGCATTGAGATGAAAAAAAAAATGCAAAAAAAAAATTGGTTGGACAGACTTACACAGTAAAAAGCAAATAGTAGGTTTAAAGGGATGGTCCAGAGTATATTTTTAAGGCTTGGCTGTGTTTATAAGATGCAAAGCAATGTGTAATCATGCTTCACTTGTAAAAAATCATGCAATTTTTTTTATACATCTTATTTTAATTATATACAGCTACCTAAGGCAATGCAGTGGCGCAGTAGGTATTGCTGCCTTCTCACAGCAAGAAGGTCGCTGGTTCGAGCTGGGTCAGTTGGCATTTCTGTGTGGAGTCTGCATGTTCTCCCTGCATTCGCGTGGGTTTCCTCCGGGTTCTCCGGTTTCCCCCACAGTCCAAAGACATGCGGTACAGTTGAATTGGGTAGGCTAAATTGTCCATATGTATGAGTTTGAATGAGTGTGTGTGGATGTTTCCCAGAGATGGGTTGCGGCTGGAAGGGCATCCGCTGCATAAAAATGTGCTGGATAAGTTGATGGTTTATTCTGCTGTGGAGACCCCAGATTTATAAAGGGACTGAGCCGAAAAGAAAATGAATGAATGAATGAACAGCTAGCTAACATGGAAACAACTGTCCTATTTCCCAATTCCTCTAAAAGGCCCGTCCTCAAGAGGTTCTGATTGGTCAGCAAACATAATGTGCTGTGATTTACAGATCAGCTCCATGTCACCAGGAAAAAAAGTCATGCTACTAATAGCACGTGCTTTGCCTTTGCTCTGTAAATACTGTCAGTCAGAGTAGCAGTGTCAGTGTGAGCCTGAATCAGACAGAAAATGAAAAGGACACAGCTGATCTTCACGCCTGAACTCAAAAATAAAATCTAACAAGTGTCTATCAGATATATTCGGGTTATAAGCAAGTGTAAGTAATATGAAGCTAGAAACTGTGCCTGTAATTGATCAATTTTAACATTTAAAAGCACTTACAGGTTGCTTGGCTTACAGTCCACAGTTTCTTCTATTAGTGTTGGAGGAGTTTTTAGCTGAATCCAGCACTGAACTGAGAGAGATTCTGGAAGCTGTCCTTTGTCAAATGCTAGCTACTTTTTAAAATTATTCTCTGGACCATAATTGAAATTAAAATTTGTGTCGTGTTCTTTGGAAGCCTAAACACAGAACAGAACAAGCTCTGTGGAGATGGCAGCATTGTTACATTGCCTCTGGCCACACAACTTCGCTGCGTGGGATGTATGCCCGTGGTGTATGCATGTAACCTGAAGCGTTTGTGATCTCACTAAGCAAAATTTATTTTTCGAAGTGCTAAGCTAAATCTATAAAAGCCAATATATCCCTTTGCATTGAACTTTGAGCGTCTTACATTCAGAGATGTTGTTTATGTGCACGCAGCTACATTACAAAAGTTTAAAATAAGACAGTGGACCACCCCTTTAATTAAAAAAGTGTTGTAACTGCTGCAGCTTGGAACTAAGTTACTAAGTTGACTTAGCTAAGCTAGGTTGACTTAACATATTTTTATAGATATGAACATAGTTAATTTACTTTAGTTAATAAAGTTAACATAGATAATTTTAAAGCACTGGGTTAACTCACTTTTTAAGTAACTTCATTTAATCTAGATTGACCTAACATATTTTTTATAGATATGAACATAATTGATTTACTTAATTTTAAAGCAATGGGTTAACTCGCTTTTTAAATAACTTCAACAAATCACTTTAAAAGCAACTGGTTACTCTGTTTTTAAGTCAACTAGTTGCTTTTTACAGTATGTTAAGCATGTACACAAAATACTGCAATCTCTTGCTATTTCAAAATTGTCAGGTATTTTAACCAAATAGCTAACAATGCATTGAAGAGTCACTTTTTAGCAATGGATGCCTTCCCTGGGAATTAAAACCACAGCTTTAAATCTGTTAACGCTCAAGTATATGAGTAACAGGAGAGTTTCAGTTACTGAAACTTGCATTGTGCAGCATTGTGTCCTTATATGCACAACCTTATTTAAATCTTTATAAGGTTGAAAGATTTCCAAGGTTCAGATTCGGAGAACTGATAGAAATACCACAGTAAGACTGAAGGGGAATTCAACATAAAAACTGTGTGGCCACAGGCTGTTAGTTGTAGCTTAAGCAAATTTACATTACCACAAATCAACCACCAATGCAAAGTAATGCATATGTGATCAAAATGTTTACATTAACTATTTACAATTGATTAAAATTAATTATGTACAACTGATTAAAAGATGTTTTTAGTATGCATAGCTATTGCACCAAGCGAGATATGCATTCATATGCCAACATATGCACTTTCACACATGTAAACAAACCGTTGTGGTTTAAAAAAAGCATATGCAACAAACGCAAAGAGATGAAAGTACAGATGTGCATGCAAACAGTGCACATGCAAAGAGAAATTCATTTTAAGAAATAGTGGAAGAATAAAACAGATTGCAGTACGTTTTTCTTGGAAAACAAACCGATATTCATTGATAAGTTTCATTTTCACACAAACACACAAAAACATCTGATAACAAACCAACTTTCAGTAGGTTACTGACTCATTGCGCATGTCATCGGGTCCTTAACCCAGATTCATGATGGTCCAAATGTCGGTTGCACTCGCTTGTCCACTCAAAAAAACCTTGAGTAACTCTTGGGGTTCAACATTAGTGTAACGTCATCCAGTTAAGACGCATCACATCTCTGATTTAAAGGAAACAAAGCCCACAGAAACCCCAAAAACCCAAAGCAGCCGTCCTACTGTCATCCTTTGCCTATATAAACCCCCAGCCCCTTTCCGATCATCAACATTCACCTGCTGACTAACATCAGGTCACAGCATCACTTGGTTCACAGCACAGAAACACAAACACAAAAAAATGGATTCCTGCCTCAAAATGGTGCTACTCTGTGGACTTTTGTGGATAGCATCTCTTCAGACAACCAGCGCATACAGATTTCGACGGTCCAGGAGCGAGAACCCGATTCTGAACACAAATATCGAGAAACTAAAAACACATTATGTAAGTGATATCTGTCATCATTTTCTGCAGTGTCTTTGAAAGTTTGTGCCAATGAATTATATCAGATCCAACTCATATTAGTTTTGCTGCTAATATTAGCATGAACAGCAGGTGGTTTCAAAAACCACAACAACTGCACAATGAACTTTGTGACATTTTGATTTTAGATTAGAAGATGCACGATGCATTGCTAACGGTCGCTGTTTTGTTTGTACTGTCTTTAGAACACGCTTGCAAAGGATTGGGTTGGAAAATCTGTGTTTGTTTCTCATCTGGACCAGCTGAATGTAAGTTTGTACTGTGCAAAATGCTAAAATGGGAACTTGAAATGTAATGATTTTTACATTAACATCCTAATTATGCTGATTTCCTTCAGTCTAAGCCAACCTGCACTTGCCAGGCTGTGTTGCTTGAAGGAATGCTGAGCATCTATGAAGACATTTTCCAAGACATGATGAACAAGTCAGATAATAAAGAAGTGAGAGACGATCTTAAAAAAGTAATTCATGAGGTGAAAAATTTGAAGCACAAGTACAACGAAGAACATAAATTATGGAGGGAGCTCCAGGATATTCACTCAGTCAAGGTAAACAAAGACAATATAAGTTCTGTCTTCATTGTGAAACGTATACACTTTCAGTTATCTTAAAAAAAAAAAAACTGTTAAATAACTATATAACTCTCATTCTCATTCAGGCGAAAAATGGAACAATCCAAGAAAGAGCATTAAATGACTTCCTGAAGGTGTATTATCGGGCCTCCACAGAAAAACGGCATTTACACATGTCTTAGGCCCACTGAGAAGATCCAAAGGGTCTTGACTTTTATGTAGTAAACTAGTGCTTTGCTATTGTATTACCCTATTTATTTATAAGTTATATGTAATTATTTATTTTGTTTTATTTTATAATGTACTCTACTACAACGTAACACAACAGAACTTAATTTAACAATCTAACTTATTTTCATCACATGTGTGTTTGCATCATTTACAGTGTACAGAAATGGAAACAGTTGGTTTTCGACAATGGATTTGCTTGAAATACTTTGTGAGCTTCACTGGCTGAACTGTTAATTACAATAAAAATACATTTTGCATTAATTTGTGCTTTCGTTTGTTTAATTGCAATTTTTAGTCTGCCTAAAACTCAATCAGTCAATGAACTAAAAGTTCAATGGGTCATTGCTACATGCTGACAAACTGCAAGTTTAGTGAAACTGCAAACTGTGGCTGTATTTAACATTTGACATTAAAGGAAGAATGTCATAAAAACTGCTCAAACATTCAAATGAAAAATAAAATTAATGCAATGATCTGAAATCTTAGTGCATTTCTAGCACACTACTCCAAGCCACAATCTCAAGTTAATGGAATTAAATTTCCAGAGAATGTATACACTTGATAAAAGAATGCTTTTAGTGCCAATGACATACAATGGGGGTCAAAATTGACTCCTTAGTCCTATTAGGAGTTCTTACAGCATATTTCATGAGACAAATATCCCAAAGCGCAGTATAAAAAAAAATATTTGAAGAAAAAACACTGATCAAAATTAGAGTAAACTTTCAGATACTTCCAAATTGATAATTAGGTGATAATTGTGGTAAATGTGGTGATAATGTCCTTAATTTACTTATCTGACAAACCCCAACTTTGGCTAAATAAAGTTACTGAAAACCGCCTAACAGCAGTTTGTCAAGATGAAGGCCAAAGTTAACCTTTCAGCCACAGCAAGAGGAGTTGGTCACTCCAAATCTGCGATTGCTAGAATATTGCATTGTTACATTGTCCACCAAAAAAAAAAAAAAAAAGGCTGGTCATGCATGAAAGGCAAATGAACAAGAGTACTGAACAGGATAACATGGAGATTTCAGTGGGTAATCAGTGTAACACTGCAGCCATGATTGCTCCAAAAGTTCAGTTTTGCATTTGTTGCAGTATATAGTGTTTGGAATTTACACCGAAAGCCCAGTATCTGCTGTGGTCAATCGTGCTCTTATCAGATGAAAAATCATAAGGCCAGAATATCCCTTTGGCAAGAAACAAAGTTAAATTTATTTGGGTAAACTTCATGTTCACCATCAACCTGGGGGGAAAACTTAAGCCAAATTTGTTTTTAAAAGTTTGTGAAACGTGGAAATGAAGTGTCATGGGTTTTGTAATGTTTTTGATGGAGGAATTTAACCTCTTCTACAAGGCAGATGTTTATCAGAAGCTCACAGAACACACAGTTCCTTCTCTGCATTCATCACTCAATCAGCCAGCATTTTTCATGTAGGACTAGGGCTGTAACGATACACCAAACCCACGATTCGATTCGTATCACGATTTTTGACCCACGATTCGATTCGTATCACGATTTTTTTTTTCGTGTGGGGTGGGGAAAAAAAGATTTTTAAAACTATTTTTTATTAAATAGAATTATATTATTTTTGTTTTCTTTGTAACAAAATACTTTTGAAAAACCAAACAGAACTAAACTCCATTGTGTAGATGGTTCAAGCCAATGACTGTAAAAAATATGGACAATGCGACAGCCCTTTTTCCCATTGAACGCCTTGAGGGCAAAACGCCTGCTTGACGGACACAAACTGTCGCAAAAGACTGCTGAAATTGGAGCCAGACATGCGCAGAAGGATTGTCTGATGGAGCCAGAGGAGGAGCCGCGAAAATGAGCAGAGTCGAGCTTCCAATCAAACGCTTTATGTAAAATCAACTACGCCCACCGAACTTCTCAGCATGCGTTTGCTGTCATATCAACACAAATGGATGTAATAACGTTAACAAATATGAGGGTTTTATATATTCAATCGCGCCAGCTCCAGGCCGCAACACATAACTTACTCGTGGCGTCGCGGGCTGATTCCGGCTCGCATGCGACAGCGCCTGCTCGCTCGGCCGCCGCATCTGGCTCGATTGACTCGGGCTGGAATTGGGTAGTGAGTCCAGGCATCCGGAGTAGGTCCAGCAGAGGTAACATTAGTCAGTCTGAGCTCTAAGAGATAAGTCTCCAGCAGGCGAGAATCTAGCCGGAACTGTGTTTTGCTATCTGGGTGGCTAGGCGTGTATCAGCAAACTAATAAAGCCCGAAAAAAGCCCTGAACTTAGCAAATAAACAGTGTTCCACCAGGATCATGTATGTCAGAAACTATAGTTTACTGCTGAACTCATTTTGTCATGGTAAAATAACACAGAAATCGAATAATAACATTTCAGTCTACTTCAGTCTCCTGCCGAAGCTCAGACGCCGCGCTTTGAGAAACTGTCAATAACAGCTGTCAATCACGATGACACGCCCAGCATTAAATTACTGCTAAAAACAAACTGTTTACAAAAATGAAGATCTGCACCTATTTCAGCACAATAACCAGTGCCTTAATCGACCAGAACCATCTTTCGGGACATTTTATTGCAAGTGTAATATTTTTTTTTATTTGGGCTCAAGTCTCCTTCATTAACACGGAGGAGGCGGGCTTTATGACTTGTACTGCAGCCAGCCCCCAGCGGGCGATCTAACGGCCGAAACCTTCACTCAAACGTAGGCTTGCGGCACACTTGGTTCAAGCATGTTAAAAATTCTTTTTCAATCAAGTTCTCTTACTTAGAAAAAGTAAATTAAATGGATACTAGGGATGCTCATTTCGTTAATTTTGCTAACAGACAACCGCCGCTCATTAATCGGTTATTATAATAACGGTTAACTGGTCAGATTACTATTAATTTTATATTAAACAAATTGACGTGTCTATTTTGTGTCTGACACATTAAATATTGCATTTTAAAATAGGCTACTGATTTATTTTTAAATGCTAGCATATTAATAACAGAACAGAACAACAAAGCATCTTCACGCACCTGCAGTGTTTAACACAGAAGAGCAGAATAATCTAAATAAAATAAATAAAATAAATAGGACTGCCCTAAATTATTTTCATTTAAATAATTAATTTATATTACAAAACGAAAATACTGACTGATTCTTTTTAACAACCGGCATAGGCTGTTTTTTCCAATCATGTTTTTTCTTCCGTCAAATAAAAATCGCAGACTTCCTCAAATTGCCCGCTCCACGGAAAAAAATACGCATTTATTTAATGCCTTGCTGTTATTATTATAATAACAAAACCTTTTACATTTTATAGAAATCATTATTTTAAAGAATAAGTCCTGATGGTTTCTCTCTCCCTCGCGGTTCAAGTGCGCGTGCTGCATGATGAAAAGACAACAACACGCACGCATATGTAGACTTTTTGTAAACAGTTTTGTTGTTTAAATATGCTATTGCATTAATATGCATACATGCTTTATAAGCCGAAAACAAGGCGCATCTCACTGTCTTTATGTTGACAAGGAAAAAAGAAGAGAAGAAGCGCGGTCCTCTTATGAAACGACTGAATCAGCTGGGTATCGATTGTGCATAAGTGTTGCTGTCTGTGTTGTTACAATTGTAATATTTAATGCTATTGTTATATTCAAGATTTGTACATTCATACAGCTCTGGATAACTTAAAACAGCGATTAGACCTTAAGAGCGGCATGCGTCCTGAAGTAAAGCGAAACGGCTATAAATTTCCAGCAAGATAGAGTGATTATAACCAGAGTCATATACCTTTATCTATAAATAAAGTATAACTATAGAAACTGTGTTCATCTTAACTGAAAGCTTCGTCCTGTTTCCTGGCCTCACGCATCGCGCTGTCAGTCAGCACGTAACGTTAACTCTCAAAGGTTCCAACAGAAAGCGCAGAGCACGGTTACAGAAAGGTTTCCTCTGCAGAGGAGTCGGGGCATCTGGGGAACGCCCATCCCTCTCTGCGCAGCCACATTAACAACAATGCTTTGACAGCACTGGCAATGTTTCTGCCGTTGTCTGTTGTCAAGAGGGGTTAAGTTGGTTTTGTTTTTGATATTCCTGACACATTCAGACAGTCCCTTACTAAGAGCTCCTCTGCGAGCTCTCCCGGTTAAACGCTAATTGCGAGGGCTTAAACGGAGCAGTGCTCGTAATGTCGAGCGGAAAAAAAGTGTTTCCTCACGTTCTTCTTCAACTAGCTCAACTTTTGCAGGCACGCGTGACGTTATTGGAAAGGTAGTCACGGGGTGTGTCGCGATTCTCCCTTATCACACCGCGACACAGGATCGTAGATCTGAGTGTCGCGATTTCGATTTTATATCGTGTATCGTTACAGCCCTATGTAGGACAGTGAGCCCAGTCGCACAAAAAAAAAAAAAAAAATGGATAAAGCAGTTCTTTGAAAGTGACAACATTGAAATAATGAAAGGGCAGCTCAAAGTCCTGACCTAAACCTGATTGAAAATCTATGGAAAATCATTGGCAACAATGTAATGGCTTAAAAACAGTCAGTGAACACTGTGTCCTAACTACATGCGGAGACACAACCGTCTTTACCATGTTTTTGTTGTAATGCTCCAGAAATGCTCCTTATTTCTGCGATATCGCACCAGAACAACAGCATATACTCCCTCAGATGATCATCCCAGATACCGATTATGTGCTTTATTCAGTGGTAAATGCTACTAATTTGGGTTTACATACAATTATATGTGACATTTACTGCCATACAACTGAAGGCAGCAATAGATAGTTCACCTCAGGTCTTGAAAATAAAAGTTATAGCAAACGGTTAGAAAATTAAAGTCAGAACTGTGACTCAGTTCAAACCAACAACATCAAGCCCTCAGTAGTCTATTAATAATGTTAAAGCGGCTTAATATGTGTTAACTAGATTAAAAGCCTTTTCCATTTCATTGGTAGTGCAGTGGCTGGTATTTAAATTTTTCTGTCATGTCATAGACCAAAAGTGTTTCAAGAGTTTACACTTAGCTTATGATTTATACATAACTTGTTTGGCATGCTGTGCCAGGAGAGAGCACTGAGCTCAAGGGATCCTCAAGCCCAGGGCTCCCCCCTTTTGCAGGACAAGGGGAGATTGAGCTCAGGTTGAACTCAAACTCCCCCGCTGCTGAGGCCAAAGCGAACTTCCTGAGAGTAAGGCATCATATAAAAAGGATTTAGGCTTATTTTATCTATAATATAGAGCACATTTGGATGGTGGCAGGAAACGGGGAACCCGGGGGAAACCCACGCGGACACGGAGAGAACATGCAAACTCTGCACAGAAATACCAGATGGCTCAGTGAGGGCCCAACGCCATAGGTATTCTTGCTCTGAGGCAACAGTGCTAGTCACTGGGCCACCGTGCCACCCATTCTGAATAAAGGAGGAAGAAGGGGAGGCAGGGGGGTTTCGTCCAGACGAAGATAGTTGTAGAAAGGAAATGAGGATATATATAGTGACTTGGGATCCTTTGATTGGAGGATCATGATTAGCTAATGTGGACCATCTGGGTCAATCATGAACACAAGCTCCCCTCGAAATTAGTTTAAAATTAAACTTCACTTGGTGCAGACAGCCAAATCGCTTGTAAATTGCTGTTCTCTTCCTGCATCATGTGTTGTTTTGCTATTCTGTGGTCACAGATGTGCTAAAGTCATTTAACATAAGGGCCTGAACTCTAACTTTTAATTTTCTACTTATTTTTGCTTTAACCTTTAGAAATTTTTGTTAGAAATCTATCTTGATTATACAATAATTGTAGTTCATAGAAGTTTCTTTAGCAGCGCCTTAGAATATATGTACAAGAACTCCTATTATAATGACTTCAGGCAGTGACATATAATTTAAGTATTATAACTTCATTCTCTTAGTAGTTTAGAATAAGAGATTAAATCCTATTACATTTTCAATAGGCCTATTTGGCAAAATATAGAATTTTGAGCTGACGATAAAAGACAACGAAACTCCTCAAAAATTAAAAGTAAGCAGTTCGCAGAAAGAATATCCTTTTGGGTTTCCACGTGGTTTGAATGATGTATATAGAGGAGTCTAGGGTAACACCTCTCTACAACCACAGCCGCGGAAAATCAACCATGGCGGCAACACTCAACTGGAAAATGAGACATACCTCCGACACTGAGGTTTGGAGTGATCAAGTGGCACCTGTTAGGAATTCAAATCACCCTTTTCCTACTTATTACGTATGGATGTAAATGCATTCGCAATGATTCACATTTTTGGTCTAACCAAAATGTAGTGGTTTCGAGGATCTCAATAGTGACATTTCATCAAACCAATGATAAGTGCAGCCACCTCCTCAGATAACAGATAGCCTCCCTAGATACATATTCCTACATACTGTAGAAATAATGCAGTATCATCTCAGCTGACATTATAAGAAAAGTAGTTTCCCTTTGTGAAGCGTACATGTCTCACACTACACATCACTTTTGTCTGCCTTTCATTATCTTTCTCTGTCACTCTCTCTCTCTCTCTCTCTCGGCAGAAATGAGCTGATGAAGTGTTAAAACCTCAAATGCAACATCTCATGATGAGCAACAGTAGAACTCAGTTCTTTCAGCCATGAGAAAGTTCTTCTTTATCTACTTATCTACAAATGTTGCCCAGGGTTTGCCAGATCATATGTGTGATTCTAAGGAACTTCTAGTGAAAGTGTTTCAGCCCACTTCTGTAATATTTTTCACAAAAAAAAAAAAAAGATAAACCCAACAAAAACTAAAAAAAGTCAAGCTTAATCATGCAACATTCATTATATAAGCTTATATCCTTTTATAAGCTTGTATAAAAATCTCTCTTAAGGCCTAAGAGTACTCTAAAATTAAATAAACTTTATTAATTTCTTATTGCTGTCCATGCATAAGAAGCTCTGTGGACAGTTTATTGCATCCCACTGCATGCAGATGTTGCAAAGAAAAGGTTAGACATTTTTCGAAAGCTGCTGAATTTGGTGCAAGGTCAATATTTGAAAATGTAAGATGAGAATAAACTATTTCCTTCCCTATTGAAAACCATTTTTGCATAATTGCATCACTGAAGAGTCCAACCATGCTTCAAATCTCATGCCCAGGACTCCTCACTTAATCACCAAAAAGATCCCCGAAGACAAAACCACCAACAGCCCCGCCTAGTGACATCCTCAGGATTCCAACAGAGAAGATGCGTGGTGGGCCGATGTTGCTGAGCAGTATCATGGTGCATTTTGATTTAAAGGAAACAAAGCCACACAACTTCACACCTAGATCATAGCTCCCTCGCTTGCTCTCACACATAACTATAAATACCCCATTCACTCGAACACATGCATTCAGACCATCGTCAGGACACGAGAACGGTCGGGTGTCGTGAGACAGCGTGAAAAGGCAACTTTGGCTCAACTCTAACTTTAGCGAACGCCTTCAACTAAAAAGGACTATGATTGCGCAACACATGATGGGCTTTGCCTGGGGAGTATGTTTGCTGTTTTCGGGATGGATGACATACAGTGAAGCCAGTGTGCCCGAGAACCTAGACAAGAGCATCGAAGAGCTCAAAGCTTACTATGTAAGTATGGCTGGATTTCCATCGTACGCCACATCGCAGACAGAAAGTGAAGTAAATCTATAAGGTTAACTGGTAGATAGATATCCTCTAGATATAAGAAAGTAAGATAGATTTAAGTAAGGTGTATTGATTGGGATACGGCCTTCAAGATTGGAAATCCTGGCTTTAAAAACGAGTCAACTTTTACTGCGATTGGTTAAGAGGTAGTTTGGCAGAAAACAGGAAGTAAAGTCTGACATCCATATAGACTGAAACCTTTGGGCATGGAGAAACATGTCTAGTCTGTAGGTGGAGTTTCAGATGTGGTATGATAATCGCAATAAACGTATTTATCTGATTGAGTTGTGATCTTGAAATGATGCCAGATGTCTAAATCAGTAACCTATGTAAACGATGACCTTTTAATTTCTTCCAGATTAAAGAAGATTCTCAGCTACATAATGCACACCCCATCTTCCTGCGAATCCTGAAAGATTTAAAGGTGAATCTTGAGGTAAATAGCCTCGTGCAACAGCACAACGGCCTAGTATTTAGGCCTTAAGCATCTATATGAGTTAGCATAAGCCTTACCTTTCTGAGCCAAAGGGCACATTGTTTTGACACATCCTATTATGCATTTCCTGTGTTGTACACGCGGTGTAGTCAAGCTTGTTGTTTTCTTTGGGGGGCAGGAAAGTGAGCAGAATCTACTGATGAGCATTGTAATGGACACATACAGTAGGATATTCACTCGCATGCAGAATGACAGCGTGGATGAAGCTACAAAGGAGAGGCTGGCACATGTTCAAGAGCATTTGAAAAAGCTGCAAGAAAGCTACTTTCCAGGCAAGAGTGCAGAGCTCAGGACGTATGCAGAAACGCTATGGGCGATCAAGGTGAGAGAATAGTTGCAAATTCTGTGAAAACAAACTTGACAACAAAAAGTATTGAACATCATAGCTTGACATGGCCTTTCTAACATATATAGAAAGGCCACACATACCAATGGAAAGTGAATTGAGAAAAAGTTGTTAGTTCAAAAAATACTATATTAATTATATAACTCAATATAACTCAATATATATATATATATATATTATTGATTTTATTTAAATTTTTTAAACATTTCCCAAATTATATTTAAGAGCAAGGACATTTTCACAGTATGTCTGATAATATTTTTTCTTCTGGAGAAAGTCTTATTTGTTTTATTTTGAGTTTTAAAAAAATATTTTGAGTTTAAAAAAAAACATTTTAAGGTCAAAATTTTTAGCCCCTTTAAGCTATATATTTTTCAATACTCTACAGAACAAACCATCATTATACAATAAATTGCCTAATTACCCTAACCTGCTTAGTTAACCTAATTAACCTAGTTAAGCCTTTAAATGTCACTTTAAGCTGTATAGAAGTGTCTTGAAAAATATCTAATCAAATATTATTTACTGTCATCATGGCAAAGATAAAATAAATCAGTTATTAGAAATGAGTTATTAAAACTATTATGTTTAGAAATGTGTATAAAAAATCTTCTCTACAATAAACAGAAATTGGGGAAAAATAAACATTACATATATAATATATATAATAATGAAACATATAATATATAATAATGAAAAATGACATGCATGTTAAATATATATTCTAAAATACAGTAACACAAAATATGCTTTATTTTTTTAAACATATAATTATTTTCTTGCATTTTATTTATTCCCCAAAGCATATTTTTACATGCATTTGTATTAATGCATCAATGAAAATTCCAAAGTCTGCATTAGCACAGCTAAAAAATAGAGGACATTTTTACTTCATATAACTGATTTAACACTATAGTTTGAATGCAACCTTGGTTAAAAGGCTGCCTATGTTAACCACACAAAAGGAGTTTGACATCTAAACCCGTGTAATGAAGGTTTGGTTTTGGTTTTAGGCTTTTTGAAAATACCTTTTTTTTTTACAATGCATAATGTAATATGCTATAAAAGAAAAAGCACTTGTTTGAATTTATTTTTTTTTACTTAGAAGGTAAAAGATAAATATGCCTCTTTAACATCACAAAGGCATGTCACTAATCAAATGCTTTGCAATTGCAGGAAAACGACCCGATCGTCCAGCGAAAGGCTTTGTTTGAGCTGAAGCGTGTCTATAGAGAAGCAACACTCCTGAAAAACTTAAAGAATAAAGAACGCAAGAGACGGCAGGCTAAAGCATCAAGAAGCAAAAGTCTAAATAGAGGTTGATCAGTGCCTAAAATGGTGTGAAATTAGTTTTGTTATTTATTCTATTTATTAATTTTTTATACGTTTCTTGAAAATATTGTAACTGACATTATTTATTTGTTCTTATTTATTTGAAAAATTTTGACAATGGAAGCATGTTTTTTGAAGCATGTTCAAATTTGGTAAAGTCTATGACTAAATAAATGCATTTTTTAAAATAATTTTTGTGCTGATTAACTTGACTTTTGGCCGTCTTTTTACTATATTTATACTATATACAACCAAGACATGTGTTTGCTAGGCACAGAAACATCTCCATCTTCCTCAGCCTCTGAAACACTTTGTCATCAGTCTCATTAGCATAAAAGTGCCACCGCCACCCACACTGAAAGTAAAATAACCCATTACCCCAGTCAAACAGTAAAATCAGGAAATACATAGCAAAAGCCAATGTGTTAAGAACCAAACATCAAACAAATAAAAAAAAAAAACACATAATCTTTTCATGCTAAAAAAAATAAAAATAAAAAAAAAATAGGAAAAACCTGCAAAAATGGCAAAGATAATTAAAATAATTTCTAAGGAAACAATTATGTTTCCAGATGCCACACAAGCACACACACACACACACACACACACACACACACACACACACACACACACACACACACACACACACACACACACACACATACATACAGAATGTCATTGAACTGGTTTGACTGCAGGTGAAGCTACCTATCTCATTCACAATGCAGTGTATTATAGCAACTACTGTACACGACAACACAGATTTTTTCATCTAAGGTTTCACTGCGACTTCCTTAAAAAAGTAGGAAATTTTTACACTTATTTTTTCACAGGGGGAAAACCAAGAACTTGTTTAGTAGGGTGGCTTTTGTTTAATTTGTCGACACTATTCGTGTCAATGAATAGCAGTGGGAACAAAACCAGAAGCTCTTTAAATTGACTTTCTGAATTTCCGTGCCGCTTCAAGCAGGTTTATTCAGGTTTAATGTTAGTTTAATGCTAAGGTGGTTGGCTAGTCTCACTAGCTATTTAAGCTGTAGATTATGGCAAAATATCCATTGCGCTAATAGAATAAAATTAATAATGTCGTAAATTAAATAATCTCAAGCTTCTTATCTGCTCATGATTTTCATTAACATCAAATCTATATGAATTAGTAAACTTTCAATAGGGCAAAAAGTTGACTTTGGTTTTACTAAAGTTTCAAACATTTACTGGATCCTCTTGCTTAATATACCCTGAAATAATAACAACAGTCCAACATAAAACAGTCCTGTGATAAGCGGAGCAAACCATCACAATCAAACTTGGAGACAGCAACAAATGTACTTAATCCAAACGTATCAACATATGTATGTTGTACATGTAGCACTCTATGGATAAATTGTAATCGTTCAAACTATGGCTCTTCTATATGATAGAGAATGAGAAAACTTGAACAGCATCTGTGATTTCTTGCTGCTCCTCAATGTCTTTGAAAACATAATGAATCTAATCATGGTTAGGATTCATGTCTGTATTGATTTAAAAGTCATTAACCTATCCATTAAAGGATATATCAGCTTTTACTGCAGTTTCAAAAATCACTGAAAAGGGATTTGTGTGTGTTTCAGCCAGGTTAATTTCACTTTAATCAGGTGAACAGTAAGAAGAACGTCCACAGATGTGCGACTAAACAAATGCACTAAGAACTCGCCCACAGTTTTATATTTGTTTGTTTTTTGCTTTTAGTGACCATGCTGCAGGTGGTCACTGATATTGATACCATCTTTGGCCTCTATTGAATATATGTTTAAATATAAGGCTTTAGAGTAGGTGCTTTGGCATTTTTAATTTTTTTAATATATTTTATTAAATGTAGTAATCTTGTGGGCAGCTTAACAAACAAGCAAACAAACAAGGCAGGCGTTATTTAGGCATGTAAATTGAGCTTGTCTGCACTGGAAAGCAAATGTTGCAAAACCATTTGACCATTTACAGACATAATATATCAAGACGCATCCAAATTGACATTTGTTTACTGTCGGTGGTGGTGTGTGATGTGTCCAATGTAGAAAACGCAATGTATTTTGTTTGATTTGACTTGACATGTTGCACTTTGGTGCTTCTGTCTGGTGCAGACAAGATGTCAACATATCGAAAGTAATAAAGTAAAAATTGCTTATTGCACAGAAATGGAATGGAATGAAAGGCTGAAATATGCCACTGTGGGAAAGCTATGCAACACCTTTTTATTTTAGCAACATGTAAGCGAAACATAAGCAAGCATTGTTTCTGTAAACAAGTTGTGTTTGCGGTTTCAATCATTGAGAATATATGGGGAAAAGAAATTGTGGTTTTAGTTTGAATTGTGAGCTTTAAGAGAGCACTAGTGGAAAAAAAATGGGTGCCATATGGATGAGTCATCCTGAACTGCAGAGTTCACCTTCAGGGAACTTTAAAACTGTGTCAAATATTGACGATATGGGAATTCAACAATCAAGAAGTGTTCCCATTGCGTCAACACTTGATGCAACGTTTTGTTGCCCCCGTAGAACCATTTTTACAGTGATAACCTGGGACGTTCCCTTTCAGCGGACTTCGATCGATGCTATGGGAACACTTCGCGACTGTTAAAGTCTTATAGCGTCGATATTTGATGCAGCGTTGAAGGGAAATTATGGTTTGTCCAATCAAATGGTAATACTGTATCTAATAACACTACCTCTATTTATGACACTGTTTAACCTAGTATTAGCATATATTTTCAGCGATCCAATCACAAATTTGAAGCCAAGATGCATGACTGCTTCTATACTTGCAAATTAACAAGCACTCAAATCATCAGGTCAAGAGACTTTTCCCTTTTGATATTATCATACACATATATATATATATATATACTGTCACACAAGTACTAATGAATCAGTACATGGGTGTTTACATTGTGAAATCTACTAGCTTAAATGCATGCTTGACTGCCTTTTGAAGTATTAAACCAGTTTACAATGTAAACAAGATAATACAAAACTTGGCAATAAAATCCATATTTCTAACACTGCCTTTCAGGGCCAATGCCTGTATTATCAATGCAGGAAATTTGATATCATATTTACTATCATCTACTTAGAAACTTCACCATGCTTAGGTTTTAAAGCTATCAAATATTGCCTTAATTTTCACAGACACATATAGTTACTGAAGTGCAAATGTATAGTTTTCATTAAAAAGTAGGCGAACTGACTAATGACGTAATCAGCACAAAATGACAAGTGCCATGTGTAAGACGTTTTGGCTTCATTTTTTCCACAGTGGAAGGAAAATGAAATGAATTACTCATAATTTGTATACTCTCACGTTTCAGACACACACGTTCATCTTTAAGATGTAATAAAGCCTGAGGAGCCTTATGATGTTTGTTTTATATGTGCCAGTTCACAAAGGTGTGATTGCTTTCATCTTTAAGCAGCTCAAACTGCATCCTGTTTACACTGACCCACATTTCAAAGAAACAATTGTATCAATGATGAAGTGAGGATAAGTCTATGGAAATCCCCCCCCTTCCTCTCCCCCACCCCTTTGTGGGGATTGCACACGCAGGTACACATCTTACCATCTGCTGATCTTTAATAATTCTTTTTTATGGACAAATAAGTGTATAATTAGAAGTTTCGATGACAACATTTGACTTAAAGGCAAGCCTCCTTGTATAATGTGAGCACTAACAATGTGGACAAACCTGTAAGATAATGTTTTCTTTGTGACAAGAGTCATGAATATCTCTATTTAATATATTTGCCAACTCAGAGTCATATTGATTAGTATCAATTAATGAATCAAACTCACTATCCACTATGTCTTGTGCCTCGGATAAACATCTAAATTAAGGCTTATTATAGTAAGTAACATGCTGTTACGTTTAGGTATGGGTTAGGATTCACTGAAATATGGTCAGGAGGATAATTTCAGTTATTATTTTATCATAAATATGATTTTCAACACACTATAACATGTTTATAAGTAACATTATCTGTTACTTTTTAGACGTTTTATTTCCATCATGTATAATCATACAAACTAGCCATGTGCTTCCTCTGCCGATGTCCTAACAAAGCACTCATTCATTTTATATGCAAAAATACTCTTCGTGTTACTTTTGTACATTTTGTATGATGTAATAGCGCTGTTACGTTAGTTTGTGGCATGCTTATGCTACGTCATGTGGATATTCCACCAAGCAGGTTCTGTGACAAACCCATGTAATTAAGAAGACAACTTTCAGGCAATATAAGAAGCCATAACATACACACCTCAAGTCGGATTCCCACCACGTTTACGCGTAATTGTTATATTTTGATCATACTGCAGTTGGATTTGCTATGTTTGCTTTCATTGGACATTTATTGCAAATATTTTTGAGGTAATTATGCATGTTAGATGTTACCTTCTGGAACAAAACCACTATACATATCTTTAATAATTTGTCTAAAATATATGAAAGAAATAAATTCAGTGATGATAAAAAAAAGATCTTTCCGACTTAATCATCATATTATATTATCAAACATAAATAAAATTAAACAAGTTTAGTTGAAATAAAAAGTCCCTACTATTATAACGTGACAAAGTAACGAATGCTAGCTTTGATGATTCTGACCTCAAAAAACAAAACAACAAAAAAGAATGAGATGAGATGATTTTGGAAAGTGGCCTAGATTTTGAATTCCCCTTAAGTTTCCATTAGAGACCACTTATCACTTTAATAGTTGATTATCCTCTAGTTATCTATTTCTTTAATTGTAACCATAGAGTGTTAAACCAAATATAGCATACATTTTTTGTATTGTCTTATTTATAATTATAATTATAATGGCACCATTTTTGCCACCCATAATGAACTTTTCTTGACCAAGACTGTGGTTTGCTTCAAGATTTTGAATCTGGGACATCCTCAAGCCGCACAAATGTCATGACCTCATTATATCGATGTGATACAATTTTGTGGTCGTTTGTTTTATTTTAGCTGCCTTGAAAAGCATGAAGCAACTAGAAAACTTAGTAGTTCTGTAGTGGCAATCTAAACCCACACATGATCCCAGTGGATAGAGATACAATGCTTGGATTATACTATTATTCAGCCGTCTGATATGATCACCTGTCTTTTTTTGGAACAAAGAGTAGTACTTTGCTGACGTCACCAGGAAACTAGAATAAATACAAAGGTGAGAAGCGGAGAGAAGCAAAAGAAGGAAGAAAAGGAATGAGACAGGTTTCTCAGCCGGACCACCGTTGAGATACTTTCATTTTGTCACTCTGGGACTGAGTATGGCAAGCGCACTGCAGTGTTTTTACTTTATCCTAATGCTCAGCATTCCTATACGTGAATGCATGATGATATCCCAAGATGTGAAATGCATCATCAAGAAACCTTGCTTTGATTTGAGCTTGTTGCCGAAAATGGTAGAGCATGTCAGCAAAGATATGGTAAGTACAAATGATCATACTTAATTATAGAGTATTACAGTTTAAATCACGCACTGATCACATGCAAAGTGTTATAAAACTAAAAGGCAAAGTGAAAGTGATGTGGCCATGGGAATAATCTCATACAGAAAAGCTGTTTATGTTTGGGATTAGTGTAGTAGCTGAAGACTTTGAATATTTAAGTTGGTGAATGTTTGAATTATTCCTTCAGATCGTTGAAGATGGTGAGAAGATCCTCCTGAGGCACAGTTACTTTGACAAAATTCGGAAAAAGGTAAAGGGCATTATCGGATGTCAATTCATGGCTTATCGTATTATACTTCTATGAGTTACTAAATCATTATATATTTGAAAATCAGATAAATTGGGAAGTATGTTAAGAGTCAAATCTCTAATAAGGTCATATATAGGCCTAATCCCAAACCATAAAGAATGCTTTTACACCTGCCATATGCATGTCTATTTCACTTCTACATTATCTTGTGGCTACAGAAACACAATCCAGATTACCTCAGGAAACTTTTTGGTGGCATTCTATCACATTTTCTACATTTCTGGTGGTATCAAATTGAGTGTAAACTGAACTGTATCATTTTCTTCCATCAGAAAACTCTTCACAGCTGTGTCCTGCTAAAGGTCATCGACCTGTTTCAAGATGTTCTCATTAGAACGGAGGCGAAGTCGTCTGTCCATCAAACAGAAAACATCAACCACCATCATGAGCTTATAAACATTATGTTTCAACTCAAAAACTGCCTTTCTAAGGTTAGCACTTTCAATTTTCCTGAATGAACCGTTTCACTGAGTATCACGACAGTATCACTGAATGCTGTAATTGTATCTCAGAGAGAGAAAATACAATAGAACAACCCTTTTCTTTACTGATACAACTATCAAGAAGGTTGTTGCTAGAAGGGATATGGCTCAGGTCATAAGTTTAGAAGAATTATTTATCTTATGTATTAAATGACACATTACGTTGTGTTTTATTAAGGTCTACCCCTACTTTAACCGTAAACCTATAGCCCTTAAGCAATGTAAAAAAAATAGTCGTTATTGTTGTACAGTATCACAAATGTTATACTATATTGATGTCCGCATGCCACAGCTGTATTACCTCAAGAATTGACCTAACTAAACTGTTTTAGCTAAAGTTAGCTTATTGTAGCTTCAAGAGTTCACACTTAGCTGATGATTGATTATAAAGCCTGTTTGGCATGCTGTCCCAGGAGAGAGCCCTGAGCTCATAAGATCCTCGAGTGCGGGGCTCCCTTCCATTTGCAAGGCGTGAAGGGAGTTTCAGTGTAGAAGGGAGTGTCAGGTAGATCTCGAGAAGTACCTTGCTGGAGTAGCTAATGAACAGATGGTGATTGCTCTTAAGAGATAACTTCTTACTAGGAGCATTTCTATGGTGCCGATTTGGATTAGTCAATTAACTTAAGTTGCATGTTTTTGGACAGTGGAAGGAAACCGGGGAACCCGGGGAAAGGGGAAACCCACGTGTGCACGGGGAGAACGTGTAAACTCCGCACAGAAACGTCGGCTGGCTTGGTAAGGACTAGAACCAGTGACGTTCTTGCTGTGAGGCAACAGTGCTAACCACTGGGCCACCGTGCCACCCATCTAGGAAAGGAGGAAGAGTCGGGGTGGAAAGGGGGTTTATTTAAAACAAAGATGACTGTTAAATGGAACTTAAGGTATTTATAGTGGCTAAGGAATTGTCTGATTGGTCTTTCTAGCAGCATGCTAATTAACAATGCTAGCAATTACTTACCAATTACTAACCAGAGATTTTTTTACTATATAAGTAGATAAAAATGCCTGTATTATTTACCACTGGAAAAAAAACTTAATTTAGTCACATGAGCACAGCTTAGCCAATCACATAGCTGTTTTTAGTCTTCTTCTGTGCACTGCTATAGAGGCAGCATTAACATGAGCCATTATACTTTTCAGGCTATAGGTTTCAGCATTCCCTTAAACTATTTTTGATCTTACTTTAATATGAAGCAAAATATTGGTTTAGCTTCTAAATAAAAATTTAGGATGTTCACTTGGTCTGCACCAATCAACTTTACTTCTTTGTTTCAGAAAAAAAATCAATGCAACAAGCTATATAACAATGCGGACACACAAAATAATACATCTACAGCCGTCCCCACAATGGTAAATATTTCAAATAAATGTTCAATGTTTGCAAATAACAGTACTTTAAAGTGATTAAATCACATATGCGTACTACAATCCGACTTCACAGAAAGACATGACCCCGTATCAGCTTGCAGTCATACAGTTGCAAAAACTGAAGAATGCTCATGACAAAGTAAGTATTAGTAATAACTAGCTGAACGACTCATAAGACCTCTCATTGCGCATTCTTACTAACTCTATCTGCTTAATTTAAAGGTCAGTACTGTGCATGTCCAGGAGAGGGTCATGGATGAGCTGAAAACTCTCCATTCCTACATGCAAGGAAAAGGATTCCGGAAAATTCTGACTGAGGAGAGTCATGATGTTTCATGAACTCCAATGCTTTATGCCACATCTCTGCCCGATCACTTTAAGATGCGCCAGTTTAAGCAGGGACAAAATATCAAGCTAATAAGACAAACTTTTGTCTTGAAGTTTTGTTTATAATAAGGTATTTTAGTTATTTTATGTGCTTTTAGTGCAAATATCTTTTTATAAGTAAATACTATTTAAACAGTAAATGCATATTGCTTACGTACTTTCGGTGAAAGATTGAGTGTTCTGCAGTAAACGCAGGTTAAATAATAGATAAGACAGTTTTGTTTTAAAATGTTTGTCCTTGTTTACTTTTGCATTCATTTGTCTGCTCAGTAAAATATTTTTAACATCCATTTCTATCTATTTACTTGTGTTTTGGTTGTGTAAAGTATCCAAATTTCCTTAAGACACTTTCCTGTTAGAATGAGTCAGCTCGAGATTGATTTCAATCCACCTTTTGTCATCTTTTTTTCATGAAAACGTTCTCATGTTGCTGGATTACATTGATTCAAGCTGATTATAGAATAAATTATTTTCCCCCAGAGCTCTTTTCCGGCAGTTTGTCATTCATGCCTCTGCAACTGATATGCACTCTAAGAAATAAAGGTAAAGGCGGTCACTGGGGCAGTACCTTTTTAAAAAGGTACATATTTGTACCTAAATGGTTTAAAGGTACTTTGGAGACTAATATACACTTTTGAGGTACAACTGTGGACTCTTTGGGTACAAATATGTATCTTTTGAAAAGGTACTGCCCCAGTGACAGCTCCTGTACCTTTATTTCTGAGATTGTAGCATGTCTGAGATACAGGCAAAACTCACCCACACCAAGAGTGTATGTGACATGAATTACATGCTCACTAACACATAAACAATCATCATTTTATTCACATACATGTACTTGGGGGAGCATCATTTTACCTTGATGGCACGCCATGCAACTTGTTCACGCCGGCATTATAATTTACAGTTCTGACATTAACAAAACACTTAAACAATGCATGGTGGCATCGTGGCTGCAATACGTTTGGTTACAAACATATCGTCACCATAGAATTATAAGGTTCTATCTGACATTTTTTCAAAATTGAGTTATTCACTTATTCTTATTAAATGACAACTAATTTACATTATGGGATGTTTTTTTTTATAAGTTGTTTAAATTTCAAGACTTTTTGTTTAAAAAAAACAAATGTTACACACATTCTGTTTGCTATGGAATACAAAAACTGTGAAGCTCAATATCTCAAAATCATTTAGAACACAGATAGAACCATATAATTCCAAGGTGACGATTTATGCATAAGATTAGATTAACAGTGCTGCAGTGAAATGTGTTAAATATTTGTTGTTATTATTTTAATTTCCCTACAGACGTCTTATGACTATAAGCAACTTTGCAACTACAGTTCATCTGTAGAGTCTGAGCCATCTGCTAACATTGTAATAATAGATAACTTTGCACCTAACCATATTCTAACTCTATTATTGGTCTATTAACAGTCTACTAATACACCTCTTATTAGAGTTAGTTTGCAGTTTCAAAGTTACATATGCAAAAATCTCTAACATCTAAATAAATTATTAAAAAATTACACATTTTAAGTGCAAAATCCCACAATAAACTACTGGCTTACCTGCCTATTATTAAGTTATTGGCTGTTTATACTTATAAATAAGTTAAATACTTATAATACTAATACTTACATACTCATACAAAATACTTAAATACTTATAAACAGTGTTGGGGTAGCGCATAACAAGTAATGTAATGATATTACTTTTCTAAGTAACGCATTACTTTTAAAATAAGTAATAATATTTGAGTTACTTTTTTGAAAATGTAATGCGAGTTATTTTTTTAGTTTAATTAATGAGCTTTAAAAAATAAATTGCTGAATTAAAATTAAAGAACGCATCAACAAAAAGGAAAAGGGGATTATGTCAATGAACAGTGATTTTACTTAAGACAAATACAAAAGTAGTAAACAGATTGAGTTAAACTTTCAAAAAATGTGTATGTACGGCATGTAGAGCTCTGGTGTCAGGAAGTTCTCAGATAACATTATCCTAAAATATATTTTTTGATGTGTTTTCTAAAAGGTAAATGAAGGTGTATGTTGTACAGTGCATTATTAACTGCAGAGCTCCTCTATTAAAAAAAAGAAAGAAAAACAAAAACAAGTTGTGAAAGAGATCAAGCCTTAGCCAGATATTAAAAAGTAATGCAAAAGTAACTCAAAAGTAATGCATACCATAAAAAGTAATGCAACTAGTTACTTTTCTGGAGGGTAACTCAATATTGCAATGCATTCCTTTTTTTAAATTAACTTTCCCCTAAACTGCATATACATACTACTAACTGTAAATTAGCAGCAAATTAGTACTTTATTGATCTAAAAGTCTTAGTTCATGGTTTATTAATAGAAAAATTGTAAGTTTAACAATTTTAACAAAATGTGAGCCAAACTATGTGCATGTCCATGTTGATTTTATACTATATTTATTTGTAGAAAATAAATTCAATTGCAAAATGAGGCTTCAAGTACACACCATGACTAAGCAGGATATCATTGCTGTTGATCTTCTAAACATCCGTTACTTCGGAAGTCAAAACCATAGATCTTGATAATATCTCATTTAAATCATGCTGAAAAAGACACAAGAAGACTGCAGCGCCCACAGTGGAAACTGTAAGGGGTTAAACAAAGCAACAAAAGTGAAGAGAATAAAGCACTTCTGAGTGAAAAAACTGTTTTTTGTCATTTCAAAATTAGCTAGACTGAAAAGATGATAAGAGGCTTGCAATTCCTTCTTTAGTTCAGGCACAAGTGTGACAGCCCTATATGGACGCTTTGCCTCATCGCATGAAGTGATGTCACTGAGAAACCCCCAGTCTACCGTCACTTCTGGTAAGCCATGTCTATAGTGAAACTTACGATAAGTAGAGCAGAGCAGACCACAGACTCAGACTTCTACTGAAGGGTGGTGTGCAACACACACACACACACACATACACAAAACTAAGACATGAGCTTGGGGAAGACAAACAGCAGCTGCACAATTTGATGAGAATCTATTAAGGTACTTTTGGAGGGAAAACAACACATGTTGGATTCTTTAAAAAGACAATAGTTTAAAGAAATTAAATAAAACATGACAGTGATACTGTGTTTCCTCTAAATAAGAATTGCTTAATTTGTATTTTTGTGACTCCATTGTAAATATCATCATCTGATCATCATCATCAGTTTAAAATGTCAGCTTACAATCTAGCGTTCAGGTTTTGGGTTGAAAATAAAAGTATATCTATTTATATGTGCGTATATGAGTGGGTGTCAGCAATTTTGTTCTCGCTCTGCATGCATCCAAAATGCACCATGTGCATCTCTGCACATCAAGCTTTAATGACATCAGCTTTTTCTTTGAACCACTGTGCATTAAGACTTATGTGGAACAATTATTAGAAGCAGCTAGAGAAGGAAGAAAGCAATATTCTAAATTTAAAAGTCTTGTTCTTTTTAATTGCCAATTTAGTTATTTGCATATTTCCCTGAAGTGGGTATGCTTTAATATACTGCCCTAAAGTCTGATGTGCTTCTCAAAAGAAAAAATATTTAAAGAATTATTCATGAATGGCTGCCTCAGAGGTTCTGCCTTCCTTGAATTCTTGATTTCCTGCACCTAAAAATTACCAGTCTTATAATATTATTATGGTTATGGCAGTGTTTGTATAAGGCATATTTAACCCTAACCCTAATTTAAGTAATTGAGTATTTTTTCTCAAGAGTTGTAATTTACTAAGTTGTTTTAAAAATGTGTACTTTAACTTTTCTTGAGTACATTTTCAGTGCAGTATCTGTACTTTTACTCCACTACTTTCTTTCAACCTGCAGTCACTACTTTATTTTTCCTGCCTATGGGGATTAGAAAAATCAGTCCTGTGATTCCGGTCAAATCAAGTTACACACTGAAAGTAAATCGCATCAAAATGAACTACCTTAAGACATGGGCGATTTTATAATAGCAGTAAACAGTTTGAAAGCATTAAAAGTGTCCAAAAAGATGTTCAAAATCTTGACACGCATTGACCCAGAGACTGTTTAGATGCATGTCACTGATGAGAAGATGACGGATACTGTATGATGACTAAAATGGCCTGAAACACCAAGCAGGCATCACATTGACGTTTTACCTCAACGTCATGGGGTTGTTACATTTTGTGTGGAAATGAAAATCGAGTTGACATCAGAACTCAACGTCAGGCCAACGTCAGGCCTAAAACCAACCAAATATCAATGTCTAATGATGTTACAGCTTGACGTTGTGTGGAGGTTACCACTGTGACATCTATCAGATGTTGGTTGCCATAACTGATGAATATAAGTCAGTATTTGATCTCAATAAGTGGTTGGTTTAAGATGTTGGCTCGACGTTGGATTTTAATCCATTTCTAACACAACCTAAAATCAACCAAATATCAATGTCAGATGACATCATTTTTGGACATCAAAAAAACGTTGGCCTTAAACGCTGGGTAGCCATTGAATTTTGGTCACCTGATGTCAAAACCTAAATCTAACCTAATATTGACATCTTATGACGTTGTGTGCCTGCTGGGCAATAACTAGATGCACTACAGAATGTTACGTTTACACACACATGCACAAATGACATGTAAACGCATCAGCTTTTAACAGTAATACTCACTACTCATACTTTGAGTAATATTTACAACAGATACTTTGAGTAACATTTACAACAGATAATTTTACTCTAACTTCACTACATTTTTAGGCAAGTAATGGTACTTTTACTTAAGTATGATTTTTCAGTACTCTTTCCACCACTGATTATGAATTATACTCATGTTAATGTTATTGCAAAACACTATTGCTAATCTTAAGGTGGAATATGATTAGAGTTAGCCAGGTTTTTTTATGTATGCATGTTTAGTTTAAACATTGTGTAGGATCAACAGTGTAGTTACAGCTAACTACAGCTCTAGTGAAATTTAATATATGCATACACTCACAGAAAAAAAAACATATGAGAATTACATGAGCTTTACATGTTAAAAATCATAATTAAAGCATTCATGGAACACGTGAAACCCACATTTTTTCGAATAAAAAATATGATCAGCATTTTTTACATAAAAACCATGTTTCATTTGTGTTTAACAAGTGACTTCAATATGTGAAGCTCATTAGACTGTCCATGTGACTTTTCTGTAAGGTCAAACAGTAGTGGTGACCAAAACTGAAGCTGGCCCATAGGAAAATAATACATTCAGGCTTTTTTCAAGCACACTGATGTTGCATTGATATTAACATTCTAAGCATATTGCAG